CAGTCCCCATAGAGACTCACAGCAGAAATAAACATGATTACAGCCTGGTACAAAAACAGTTTGGGTCTCTAGAGCTCATTTCTCTCTTCATCTGTACGGGCTGAATGTTTATACAACTCACCTCTTACATTATATTAAGGCTCAAAGGGATGAATAATTAGGGGCGTGGCCTCTTTGAGTAACAGGTGGGAGCTGCTAGGCGTCCCCTCAGCTGATTCAGTCTGTGACCTTTAACCTCTGGGCCGTGTTTGTGCTGTTGCAGCCTTTTTTGTTCTTGTAAATATCAGACTAATAATCTGTCTCTCTGTGAGACCGTCCAACAAGTCTGAGCTCCACTTTTTAAAACCAGTCAAACTCATACGTTATCTTATTTACATGTTAGCAACAATTAGCAGCTATCTGAGTCTGTGAGAACCAAACCTGGACTGTTAGCTTGTTAAGTGTTCGTACAGTTTCCCTGCAGAGAAGACGGTCAGCTTCTGTGTTTAGAACACTTTTTTTTTTTTTTAAGTTACCCGGTATCTGTGTATGTGCTACAAGCTCTCACTATTCTTAACAACTCAACTCAGTCAAATACGACCACAAATAAAATCTCATTCTGCAGCAAACACGATGGTTCACAAGCTAACTCAACACATAATGAATTAGGTCAATGCACAAACTGTTTCACTCTGACCAAAACGCTGATTTCCCGTCTCTAACTTCCCTCCAGCTCCGCACTCTTGTCCAAATGTTGTCACTTTGTGGTCGACAAAAAAACCCAACAACAACACATCGTGATGGCCAGAATGTGAAACTCAAAGCTACAAAGCAATAGGTGAAGTCACGGAGGCCACGTCCGTTATTCATGCAGACTAAGGCCCGGGCAGAAAGGAGGCTGCTGGGTAAAGTCTGCCGCTGCACTTCTTGCACAATTAAAGTCACAAAAATGCTTCTTTTTTTTTTTTTTTCTTTTTCAAATGTCAGAAAACAAATGCAGTATCATCATTTTAATGTTCATGAGAAATGATTGCTGTTTTTGGGGAAGGTTTCATTATTGTGAAATTTGTTGTATATGGACGTCAGATGTTTTACTGTGTGAGAGGGAGAAAGACCTTTAGGACAAAAATACACAACTTTGGTTCTGTTTGTAGCTCTGGAGGGGGTCCACACGAGCTCAGAAACACACACACACACTGAAATAAGAGGGGTGAGGGGTGGGGGGAGTAAGTGGAGGGCCTTCTGGCAAACATGTTTGTCTCTCGTAAACATCTCATTTGATAATTCGGGATGAAGCAACATTTATTGCCTCGCCCTTGCAGCTATAGAGGATGCATACTCTCACACACGCGCACACACACACACACACACACACACACACACACACACACACACGCACACACACACACACACACACACACACACACACAGACAGACAGTAAGCCACACAAACCACAGCCAGCACGCTACACAGACTCGCTGCTTTAACACTTCCAGGGACCACACACTGACTCTCAACGCAGCAGCATGCAGGGACAAAATCGAATATGAAAACCGACAAAATGCACGGACAGAATCAGAGTGTTATTATAAAAGAGTGACTTTGAAAGAGATCCTGCCGTGTTTGCAGACATTTAGAGGGCAGATTCAGCAAAAAGAAAACACCAAAAGTTCACTACACACACATGCGCGCGCGCACACACGCAGACACACACACACACACACACACACACACACACACACACACACACACACACACACACACACACACACACACACACACACACACACACACACACACACACACACACACACACACACTGATGCCAAACCGTCCACCACAGCTCACACCAGCCTCACCAGAGTGGGAACAACGAGCTGGAAAAACTCTCAGCATCCACTTCCCAGAGCTCTCACAGTCACATTAGGCCGTAAAAGACGTCCATTTATATATAGATGATATATGCACGACCTAAAATGAATGGGAGACGTTACCAGCGGTGATCTGAGAGCGACGCCCACGGAGAGAGAGAGAGAGAGAGGAGCATCATTAGAGAAGCTCGTCTCTGCCCACGGAGCCGCTCTGCTATCTAATCTGCAGTTTAATAACGCTGACACACCCTTATTACGTGTGAACTGAGCTGGTTCACACACACATGCACACACACACACATGAACACACACATGAACAAACGAGAGAGGCAGGAAGGAGAGTGACAGAAATATAAGAGCAGGACCTAAAGTTTTTACATTTTTGATTTAAATGACCTTTGACTCATTAATTAATAAACAATTTAAGGTTTGACTTCACGGTATAGAATGTGTCTTGTACTTTCTGAAGATTTTTAAACTATTTTCTACTTCACTGTAGACATTAGATTATTCTAGGATGGATGACAACGTCAGGAAAACAGAAAAATAGAATTAAAATGAGGCTTTCAGCCGTCTGCGTGCATTTTGAATTTGATTACAAATATGACATTTAATATGAAATATTAAATTGCGTGACCCTATTAGTAGTTATTTTAGCTGACTAACACTTTGTAAAAATGGCTGCCTTCTTCATGTATTTAATGTATTTTCTCCCGCGTACAGTTTGGATTGAATGTCGGTTTCCCTTATTAGAGAAGTTTTTAATCTTCACTTCAGTTCCTGATTTTTTACATTTATAACAAACCTGTTAACTGACCTTTAAGATGTTAATTAATAAATGTTATGTAAAGGATAAATGGATTAAAGGCAGACTGAGTTTCTGCAGAATAAAGCTTAAAATAAAGTCTAAATTCTATGGCTGAAATTTCAGACCAGAGATAATGTCCGTGTCACCCTCAGAGAATTAAACACACACACACACACACACACACACACACACACACACACACAGCCACTTTTGTAAAAGCCAAAGCCAATTTCAGTTTTCCACTATTTTTGAAAGGCCTCCTAACCCCCATCTCCCCCCACTTACTGAGTCTGCGCGGCCTGTCAACTTGTCTTTCTTTCTCTTTTTTTAAATCACGAAGTGTGCAAACTTGAAGCTGACAGCCTGCAGGCCTCAGACCTGCACACAGTCTCCATCAAACAGACTGAGACGAATCCGTTTCTCCTCGCTGTTTGCCCCAAAATAAATCCTTTTTTTATACATTTTTAATTATTTGCGATATTTCTATGACATGAGGGGGCTTTGAAAGCAGAAATAAGTGCTTTAGATTGGAGCAGACTCACGCAGCTTCAATCATTACTAGAGATTTAAAGTAATGGCTGTGCATAAAAATTACGCTCATTTTCTGCTCTTTATTGAAATATTATAGTGATTTTTCCACGGGACAAATCTTCCTCCACCCCTCCAAAATAAAGGGATATTTGTGCGAACGGGAGCTCGTGGCGTTTACGCGTGTTTAAGGTTTAAAACAATGAGGACAAAAGACCTGAATCTGTGAGGATCCGGATTCTGGCTGATTTGGAAAGTAAAAATCCGGCATGCTTATTTGTGGTTTTTTTTTAAAGGTCAAAGAGACTCTGTACAAAGAGCAGGGAGTCAACTTCTAAAACAAGAAGCGAGGCTTTCTTTCCCTGACGCTCTGCACGCACCTCACCTGAGTACGTGACACTTTCAAACGTTTTCGCGTCACCTTCACGTTGAGTTGCACGCGGGGGGCTGCAGGTTTGACTTCATGGCTTTGCTTTGTGTTTATCCCGGGACAACCTATCGCTCCTGACAGCACGGCCTGTTTCTCATTCTGCAGCATTTGGCTCCAGTTTCTCCTGGAGGCCTTTTTTTTTTTTTTTTTTAAGTCCGGAGTCTCTCCTCTGATCAGCTCGTGCGCGCTCTGATCTCTTCATACAAGTGAATTAAAAAAAAACGTGTGTCTGTCCTCTCTGAAGCTCAACCTGTGTGTCTGTCCTCGGTGTGTGTGTCTCAGGTGTGTCAGCAGGTGAAAAGGTTCTTGTAGTTTCCCCGTGTTCGACACCTCTCTGCTCTATGTTTTATTCATCCGCTGCTGCTGCTGGAGGAGAGGATGATGCGGTTTAACGCGGACTAAGAAACAAACAAAAAAAAAAACAGAAAAAGTAGTGCAGCATTTAAAACTGCTCGCGTGTTAAACAGTAACGTGAGTGACACCTCTCACATGAACTCAGCTCTTTAATTATTTATGAAAAGTTAAAAAGTCACAAAGTGAGCAGACTGAAGCACGTTTTAAGACATTTAAAAAAAAAAGATTTTGACCTCATTTTTTAAAAACACACAAATACGTCCACTCTTTAAAACACACACACACACACACACACACACACACACACACACACACACACACACACACACACATGTAGTCTATATATCTGTGTAGGGCCTGTACTAATATTAAAGAAGATTTAGTGTAAATCTTTATTTATTCTTCTTGATAAATGAGCAAACATGAGCTCAAAATATAAAATTCAATCCTGCTGAGTCATTAAATAACTTAATAGATTTTTTAATGAAGTCTCAACATCCTGCGGAATTTTTTTAATCATTCAAATACTTGAAAAAAAAGAAAATAAGAAAGAGTTAAAGTTTATTTTAATTATCTCCCTAAGACACAGACATTGAAATGTAACATGCTTTCAGGTTGAATTTGAGTCTAAAATGACCCTAAATATTTATAAACTTTAACTAATTTCATTTATTTTATGGGGAAATTAAACAAGTGTATTTACTGGTATTATAGTATTTATTAATGGATATTATTAGACTATTAAGCTGCAATAAAAACACTAATATTTCCACATTTACAGGCAATAATAGTGATCATTATTTATTTTGATTTCTGAACGTTTAAAGGGACATATTTTATTTATTTCACATTAATGATGCATCAATTAATTTAAATCAAAAACACAATATTTATATTAGTTTTATTCTAGTGTGTGTGTGTGTGTGTGTGTGTGTGTGTGTGTGTGTGTGCGTGTGTGTGTGCGTGTGTGTGCGTGCGTGCGTGTGTGTGTGTGTGTGTGTGTGTGTGTGTGTGCGGGTGTACACTCACTGTTTACGGCGTGTCTGTAGCGCTGCTGCCCGCTGAGGAGGCTCTGTCCATTGATCAGGAGTATTGAATCCAGGGCTGAGCTGTGCTTCGGCTCCTGGAGACTCTGCGGCGGATCACGGAGGTCTCCTCGAGCTGAATCTGGACCCGTAAAAGGGGACAGGAACCGGACCGGAGATCCACGAGACAAGAACAAAAAGTTAGTGTGGAGAGGACGGGGGCGGTTTGGGCGCGACGACTGCGCGTCAAAAAAGCAGCAGAAGGACCGGGAGGATGCACGATCTGAGGGGAAGTTAATACGAAGAAAGAAGTAGGAAGGAGACTTTGGGGTCAGCGGAAGTTTTCTGTCCTTTATCCCGCAAAAAAGTTGATTCTCTTGGGTACTCTCTCTCGTCTTCCTTTTTACGCGTTTTCCGCCCTTTCAGCTCAAAACGCGTCTCAGCTGCACAAGTCTGCGCTCCTCTGAACTCATGGCTCCATCCTCGGAGGAAGTGGGCAGAAAAATAAGCAAAACTGTGCGAAGAAGAAACAGAAACCTGACCGTGGAGCTCGGCAACCGGCGTCTGAGGAACAGTAATAGCGCGATTTCTCGGAGCGCTTTCTAATCAGAGTGTGTCACTTTCAATCTTTGCTGTGCCAACGGGCGCACTGACTGATAGAGGGAGGAGAGAAGGGAGGAGAGACAAAGAGAGAGAGAGAGAGAGGAAGGAAGGAGGGAGGGAGGGAGCAGAGGGGGCGTCAAAAAAAAAAGCTGATCTGACCCGCAGGAAGCTTTCTGTGGGACGGATCTGTCTGAGAGGACGCAGAGTGAGAAAAAGTGTCCATCAGAACTTTTATCATCATAAAAATGCTTTAAGTGGATCCCGGAGGATTCCCACCTCCTCCTTCTCCTCCTCAGATGCTTTAATAAAATCTGCTTTGACTTAATGTTCAACATAAAGTTGCGTAATAAACGTCTAAATTATATCTGTGTGGAATCTTCCTCTCGGGTCATAACACGACTATCACAGAGACCTTGACTTTAATGAGAGACAGCAGATAGAGCATTAGAATATTTTCTGTGGGCGCAGCAGAAACTTATCACTCTGCTATCAGCGCTGCAGCTCCTCACTAATACTTCCACACATGTCAGGATCATCCCGCAGGTACAATCAGCTCAGGTGAAGTCCACGCCCTCATGCACGTTAATAAGTAGGCTTATAAGAAGGCAGAGATGAGACATAGTGCTTTTTTATTTTTTATGTTTTTTTTTTTTTTTTTACCGTCATCACATTTCAACAAAACGCTTAAATCAAGCTTTTCTTCTCCCAGAGTTGTGGTCTCTGAATTCATCCCGCGTCATGCTGCAGTTGATGTCCGCGCGCACAGCTGACCAGGTCACTAGTGTGTTGTTGCTTTAAACGCGCGCGCACACACACACACACACACAAACGCACACACTCACACCTTGGCACGGTTCTCGTACTGGAGAAAACCCCAACAAGCAGAAGCTCAGCGAGGAATAAAAACATGGATAAATTCTGTTTACAAAACGTGCTCACTCTTTGTGTGTGTGTGTGTGTGTGTGTGTGTGTGTGTGTGTGTGTGTGTGCTCCCGCTACATACACTATGACCTTTAATTTAATGTAAGATCATAACCTGAATATTAACACAGCCCCATCATATTCCGCCCTGATAGACTTTATTTATAAAACCTGATGTCTGATTTATTTCACTTTGTCAAAGCGTCCTTTAGATTAAATCTGAGATTAGAATCAGAGTGAAGAGTGACCTTGAGATAAGGAGGATAAACTGTCGAGGGTCAAGATCAATAAAGAGTCATATGGAGTTATTGTCTGAATATATAAAATTACATAATAAAAACATCAGGTTGAAGAAGGTATAAATTAAATGTGTTTCCCTTTAAATCGTGAATAATCACATTAGAAAACACAATGACTGATTTTATTATGTAATAAATTATTTTTTAAATATGATTTTAACTGAAATAACCCGAGTTGAATCAGGAATATCCACGTATTTAGCAGAAAACTGAAAAACAATAAAAAAAAAAAAAACACGGACAGCCACAGAGCATCAGAGTGTTTAAAATATCTTTACAGAATCATAAATTCATTTTGGACGCAGCTCAGTTCATGTTTCTGATTTCCTTCTTTCCTAACTTCTGCACGCAGCTGTCCGTGTCTGCAGCCCTGAAACGTTAAACTGCAACTTGTTAAACAACACAGGAGCATGCGCAGATCACAAGAGGGCGACAGGAGTGATGATGAAGCCACAGGTTTGAAACGGTGCGTCTGTGCCTGTGCGTAAAAAACGCGTCCAAACAAGTTGGCTGAAGGAGCCTCGTGTTGGTGTGAGAGGAGGCACGCGGGGCACCAGTGACAGAGAAGACGACGAGGAGGAGGAAGAAGAGGGGATTCTGCTGAGTTCTCCAGGATGAGCTGCTCAAGTGGGGTCAGCTGAAAGTGCGCGTGTATCTTTCCAAGAAATACAGATTTGAGGCCTGCTCCCTGCAGCTTTGTCCTCGTGGTCATTAACGGGCAGTCTTGATCAATAAGTGAGGATTCAAGCGAATAAAGTGACGTCAGTTCACTAAAAATGAACCTTTACGGGGTCTACAAACCCTTGAAATAGCTGTTCATCCTTAATCCAAACCTGACCCTCTTTATAATCCAGCTCTTGACCTTTTTATTTTAGATGCACATTTAAAACAGAAACCTCTACCTGCAGACCCCAAACAGTCTCATGTCTGACTCACCTGTACAAGAAGCCTCTCTGTCAGACGTGGAGACACACCTGGCTGCTGATCTGCTGCTCGCTGAAGAATTAAGTGGGAACAGACGGCGGCTGTGATCCGGAGTGCTGCTTGCTGCTCATTCGTCAATAATATTAAATATGATAACGACGAAGATGACGATGTCGGTGCACGCGGGGAGAGCGTGAGGTAAACTCAGGCCTTAATGGCGACGATAATAACGGACAGAGAGATGTCATTAAACTCCCTGTGAGGAAAGGTGAAACAATCGAAATGAGCAGATTTGGTTTTAATCTCGTCCCTGCCGAGCTCTCGCAGTTATTTTAATTTTTAAAAGCGCTCATTAGAGGTTTGAAATAAGATCGTTAAAATCCATTTCAAGCTTTATTCGTCACCACACAGGCCGTTAAACCCAAAGTGTCTGCGGCTTTTGGAGAGGGCGATATTAAGCTCCACACTCGCCCCCATAATTAAGTGGTGGCCCAGAACTCCTTGAAGAGCAGCATTTGTAGTTTATTTTGATTTATTGTAGGGAATTATATTTAAATTAATTACAAACGTGTTGACACGAGGGGGGGGGGGTTCACTTGCTTTTTTTTTTTTTTTTTTTTTCCGTTTAAGTCTCATTGTGAGGCTGAGAGGAGGATCATGCATGTCGTGACATTTTAATACATTCCTGCGAAATCCAGTGAATTCAACTCGAATGTGTTTTTGCTTTAAATATTTGATGAGTGCACACAAAGGGGAGTCCGGGCTGCGCGGAATATAACCACAAAAAAATATCAGGAATAATGAAGGCAATTAAAGAATAATGTTTTCATTGTTTCCTGCAGATTTTAGAATATTTAAAATAATACGAAAATAAATAATTCAGTTTTAATATGTCGAGTTAAATGCGGAGTTTCTGAGGATTACATGAGCGTGTGTGTGTTTGTGCATGCTGTATTTATTCAGAGAAATGTTAACTAACTGCATCTTGTGCATTTCACCTCATCATGCAAACAGTCCTCTGCAGCCGGCGGCGTGAATTATTGACGCCACCGGCAGCGGCGGGGACTCGCTGCTCCGCTGCATCACTTACCGGCTGCTTCCCTCCTCCGTCTATGTTCCATTTCTTGGGGATCTGGGAATCTAGGAACGAGGCCAAACACGCGTAAAAAGCTCCACGAAGAAGAATGAAATATTGATCCCTGAAATAACCCCGATGGAGAGGACTGCTGTGAATAATGGATGTGTTTCTGCAGCCCCACAGCGCGTGTTTAACATGATAGTTGATTGGAGAGTAATGTGGGCCACTTACACTTATTGAGAACATATTTATCGTGCAGGTAAGTGTGTGTGTGTGTGTGTGTGTGTGTGTGTGTGTGTGTGTGTGTGTGTGTGTGTGTGTGTGTGAGAAGCCTGGCCCTGGGGCTCCGTGCATGCTGGGGCCGATAACTTCCTCTCACTGAGCACCTCCTCCCTCCCCACACACACAAATAATAACTCGTTTTTTTTTCATATTTCACTTCCAAGCAGGAAAACGATTTATTGCGAGTGACCGTGTGATTGTGAGCAGAGCACGAGGCTCGTTTAAAAAGCAAGAAGTCAGCAGAATCACACAGAGAAGAATGCGTCTGCTTTGCATCGAGAAAGGTGAAATATTAATAAATATCCACAGTTTGTTAGAGCCCGGATTCACATCACGAAGCATTCAGGAGAGCAGAGTCACAATGATCACCAACATCGACTCAAAACTCACTTTTCCTAACACCATGAAGGAGAAGTGATCAGTGCTGAAGACAAAGAAAGACAAAGCAGAAACTGCTTCTTTTTCCGGAGCTGTTTTGTGTCTCGCTGCAGGTTTCATGCCATGTTTTTGTCTGTTTATTTGCCACCAAAGAAGCTTGTTTGTGCTCGGTGGATTTTTGCAGACTTTTGTGTTGTCACCTTGTGAGTGAGTGTGTGTGTGTGTGTGTGAGAGAGAGAGAAGCAGAAGCATCATTTGTGCAAACAGCGCGGCTGTGTGGTGGAGAGGAAAAGACCCAAAACATCCCGAGAAAACTGCAAACATACAAACAAAGAAGGCCTGGATACCAAACTGTTGTTCTTTAAAGAGTAGGGATATTGCACATCTTCCACTGACTCTTAATCCTTTAATTCTGCCTTCATGCTTTAGTGTCTAAATAACGAACTATTTGAACTAATTGAAATAAAAAGATCCATCCGGGACTAATCAAAAGAACTCCAACAGGTGAGACGTTGGTGTCCTTCAGGTCTGCTGCGAGCTCTCAGGAAACATCTGAATCTGTGTATTTATAAAATATAGCAACAATAAAACGATCCATGGAGGTTTTGAGAATGTGTTTGCAGGAGAAATAGTTCCTGTTTTAAATATGAGAGATGT